GCGGCACAGTGACGAATCGATTCGCGCGGCTCAACAGGATTCATCGGCTGGGTTATTTACGAATTTGCAGCGGAACGATTTCGGGCAATTTTCCGAATCGCGTCGCGCATGCCGCGAAACGTCGATACCTTATAAATCGTTGCGTAATTATTACGTATCGTGGCGCGATTATTGCCGCACGAACCGAGAACGCGGCCGGGGAACGAGAGGAGACGAAAGGCGGCAGACAAAGACCGGAAACGGAAGAGAGTGGGGTAACAAGCCACAGAGTAGACTCGTTTCGTTCGTTCGGTTAGTCCAGGATTATCGCGATAATCATCGTCGGGGAAGCTCCAAGATATAGAAGGAGACTATGCTCGACGAATAAACTAGGATGTCGGGTAACATTGTCGAGAAGCGGCAGCGAGAGATAACGGCGTTCATCTTTCTCGCGTATAAACCGAGGTAAGTACCGAGGGGTGGGCTGCTGGCGCGTTTGCCCCGTCGTAAATCGCGAATGATTCCGCTAAATTTCCATCTCGTCGAATGCGAAAGGGGATAGTAGTAGCAGGGACCAGCGGTGGATAGGGGTTGGGTCGCCGATGGTGGTGGCGGCGGTGGTGGTACCGTTGGATGGATAATGGCCAGGGTGAATGATAATGCCGCGTGCACATTGTAGCTTCCTGCGCATCGCGTTTCTCTAGACTCTAGAGGCTGTTCGCAACAGCGTGCTCGTTGTCCTTCGTACGCTCGCGCTTACGTTTCCTACAAGATGCTGCGACGATTCGCTGCAACTTTAGCCGGAGTGAGAACGCGCGTCCTTGATATTCAGATATCCGAAATCCGATAACGCGAGCAACAAGAAGCGGCGAGCAAAGACTGGTAGCCAGAATACAGCCGGCCGCTTCTCGAAACCCCAGAATTACGAAAATTATGGACACGATGCACCGGTGGCAGGGAGGCGAGGGGCGTATCGCGCTGTTGCTTCTTTTTTCTCTTTACTCGATCACCCCTTACACACAGAGTTTAAGGGCCACCGCGTATAAAAAAAAAAGGAAAAAGAAAGAACCAGGCCAGCGGTGTCTCGTCCGCTTCGAAATACGAAAACTGTCGCGTTCTCGATGAGAATGGACGGCGCTGAGAAACCATTCTTCTAACTGTCGTTACGCGGTAATGACAAAATCCGCAATCGCTTAGTTGCCAACCTGATAGCCACAGGAAAATCGTGCGCCACTCTCGAGTGGAAGAATCGTTCGGTGGAGTCGATGATACGAACAGCGGAGACCGGTTCGCTGGCAAAACTTAGTCGGCGCGTCGAGCTCGTTGATCGCTCTACCGTGGCAGAAGAAAATGGACAAGAAAGGGGGGAAAGGGAAAGATCGTGGTACGTGTAAGTACTTGGTCCGTCCTGTGCACCGTATGGTTCTCGCGATGGCGAGTCGGTCACGAATACCTAATCAATAATTATTACCGCGATACTCTCTATTTTTGCGTCCTGGCCCCCTTCGCCAGTTCTACCGGCGAAACGTACGTTTGCCGGAGACCGCGAACCCACCGCCGCTCTCTCACCTCCTCCTCCTCCGCCTCCACCCCCTTCTCTCCCTCTCTCCCCTTACACCCCTCCTACTCCTCCTCCTCCTCCTCCACCCTCC